CCCCATATATTTTTAGTGATGCTCCTGTTTTGAAACCAGTTACAGTTCTTTTTAAATTAATATCGAAACGTGTATATAGAATGTTAACAGTCAATCAGTAGCTTCGATATAATAATTCTATGTCTTGCTCTAAAATGACTCTTTGGGGAATTACAGCTGAACCCGGCTCTGGATGCGTCATCCATTGCATCATTTACTGGAAATTCATTATAAGCACAGCCTAGCCTCACTAAGGCTTGTTGACAGCTGTATGCTTGCGATGATCTGCCGCACTTGTACATCGGTTTGGGTAAAATTATAAATATCCGCCCTTTTTACATTTGGTGTATCACATTAATTTTTCTGTGACAGCCATTTGTAAGAAAAAATGTAATTAAATAAATGGGTATCGTGCCAACGGAGCTGTTGCTCAAACTTTACTACACATTCAGTCTAGGATTGGGACGGCTGAAGATCCGGTGTCGCGGAACAAGACCGCGTGGATCAGTCACCCTTCAGTCTCGAGGCTGCGTCCTTGTCGCTGCTGCGGTGATTCGCTCCTATACGCGCTTTAGCAGACCTTGCCTTGACTTTCCTAATGACTCTCAACTTTCATTCCTCTTAGAAACAAAACAAACAAAACAGTATGTCAGACTACACATATTGTAATTTATAAGAGAAATGTTTTTAGTCCAAGCTGAAACGAAGTGGAGAAAAGTAAACATCTAGACATTTTGTACAATTTATAGGAGAAAGCATTTTGAAAATTTTAATAAGTTGCCGTACTTCCATATGTAAGTCCTTTGGGACGTCTAAGCGTGATTGGTTTGCAGAGTTCTGTCTCTAAGCTGTTTAACGTTGGTTTTGGAAATGCAGTGTCCGTATAGACAACACGTCTTTCGCGTAATTTTCATTGATTTGATGCGCAAACATTTCAAAGAAGTGAAACAGTAGCAGGTTTTGTGCAAAGATTGTTCGTCGAAAAAAAATACGATCATTTTACATCGTAAGGTATTATATCAACCCCTAGAACAAGACTGTAAACAGAACCTACGCCCTTGAATCCGTGAGAAGACTATTGAGTTTAATCAAGGCTGCGCCGGTGGGAAATAGATTTAGGAAAGTTGGGTAAACGATGCTGACCTCCAAAACGCGACGGCTTCATATAGGCACTGAGCCGCGGAGTCACGAAGCAGCCGGCGGCGAGGATACGATCGGACAGCATATCTCCAGCTCCAAATCCCCCAGCTGCTTAAAGGGTAAATGGAAATATCACCAGCTCTCTCGCCCCTTATAACTGTAGGCAGTGTTTTTGAGTATAAGCAGAAGACCGTGGATCAGACCGATCACGCCAACAGTACTTGTCTGCGTGTTGATGACTGCATAGCCTCTCTGTCATAAGCGACCTGCAGGCGCACGGTTCGTTTGCGGGCTGCATGGGGAGACGACCGCAGATCCACCGGGCAGCATGCGGGCCTCCATCCGGATTTTTCCCGTAGATACACAGCAGCGTTGATTAACTTTTACCAAGTACATGTCTCTCAAAGCGGACTTGGACTGCCGTTAAAGTTTTATTATAACTGAAGGTAAGGTGTGCAATAATCTTCCCTGTTAAATTAGCGTATTCCGTCTAAAAATAAATGCGATATTCTTGTATGACAATAATTGGTTAATACTGAAACTAGTTTATTTGGACATTCGTCCATTTGCTTAATTTATAATTCCTTTATTTGTCGCACGTAAACTCGATTTGCAACAATGCTTTAACGTAGCATAATGTTCACTTTGGGGAATCTATACGATATATCTTATGCCGTCTCACGTTTAGTCTAGCCACTGTCAGTGTCGTTAATTATAATTTTACTCCATTTATTTGTTGCCAAGAAACTGCAGATTCCACATTCTCCTGTCATGCGGTAATTGCGGCGATTCTTAATCTCTAAATAAAATTATATGTTGAACCTTAAAAAAGCCGTACGACGACAAAAGTTAGAACTTAGAATCATTTCATGCTCTAGAAATTACGACTGAGACGTTTAAAATATGTCCCACCGCAAACCTTTGTAAAATGTAGTAAAAAAGAAAAATTAAATGGAAAAATAGACGCCAAAATCCAACCTGTGATCGACTGTCCGTAAATCTGCGTCTTGGATCTGCATTTAGTCCTGAGACAGGATTAAATATGTGCATTTTTATGGCTTTATATGTTTAGACTGGGACGCAAAACACTAGTTTTAAACTGGGCATAGGATCTCCATAATCCGTAGTATTACTTAACCAAAGTGCAGTTTTAAGTAGATCGTGTTATCGATCCGGTCGTGTTATGGTTCGTGTTCGTTAGATTTTGCGTGATCACGGGCCGTCTCTAAAGTTTCTGGCGCTCGACGATCCATCACTTTTTATATTTTAAACGAACGACTTGATATCATGCTCATCAAAATTTTAAAACCATCCCAATAAACCTCCGCAAACCCAGTGAACTGCTTGCGATGGGTTAGAATGTATGTACATCCATCCACCCACCGTGCAGAAAGAGGGGCGCACCTCGGATAGGACTGCACTGTATGGGTTTCCATTGGGAACAAAATTCACGCATTCTCTGGTGTTCCTTCACGCCACTGCAATAAAAAAATAATAATAACCATAATAAACGCTGTAGTATAAAAGCTATTTTTCTGAGCCAACAGTTGTCATTACATTTTATTATTGGAAAATGTTATATGAGAAAGATACGTCTTTAGTTCCGTCCTGTATCGTCCCTGTACTCACTGACAAGCTTATAACATAATCCTTTAGAGATTTATGCCATTTCTTATATAAAAAAACAACAGAAATTCACATGCGTCGTGCCAAAAGGAGTGTTTCTGTTCGCCTTATGCACAAAGCGCGTGAAGACCCGCTTGTAGGCTACGTTAATGCATATTTATTTGCTTGTGCAGAAACGGGGAAAGCATCCGCTCCAGTACAAACAGGCTTCGCTGTTCATTTACACCGGTCCTGTTTCAACAGTAGGCGCTAGAGAAATATTTGCCCTGTCCAGCGCCGCCGGAGCGCATCTCCGGTCCAAACGGAGCCGAACCGGCGGATCTCACACCGCCTCATCCAGGGCTTCTCTGCGGTCCATTATTAAGACGTGGAAAGCCTCCATACAAGAATTTATCTTTGCTCTGTTGTAACGGTAAAGAGAAAAAAAACAACATTTCTGTAAACTTTACAATATTGCCACTAATTTAACGATGAGCGGATTTAAATTAATATAAAAGTCTTCTTGTTCATTCCGAAAAAAGGTGTTTATGAATTATGGATCAATTGTTTATAAGTGACAACCCAGAGGAACCTAGGAATGTTTATATATTGGCTCTACTACGAAAGGTAAAGATACATCGTTGTAAAGTTAAATGACCGTTGGTGGAGTCCATCGCGTTTTAAATTCATGCATTTGGGTTAAAAATAAGTAGAAAAGGGGGTTTTCGGGTGCCCCTCGCGACACTTCAGGAGACACCCGGTCATTAATAGACACTGACGCGACACGCAGCTTCTTTCCTCATTAACCTGCACGTGCACCGGCTACTGGAGGCCGCTGTGACTCCATGAGGAAACGAAATGACTTCAGTAAGATCAATTACATACTTAAAGCTGTCGTCGGAATGGCGTGAAACATCAACAGGCGGTAGGCGGGTGCGTGGAACTGCAGGCACAGCGAGACCCGAAGAGCTGCTAAATGTCCGTCAAGCTGCGATGTGCAGGTTTGTTAGCATCTAAAACGTGAGCAAAACATGAACACAAACGTCGAACACTGACCTGACTGAACTTCCAAAACGAAGGACCTGATTTTACTGATAAAAAAAAGCTCAGTTACATAAGTTCAGAGGCAGAAAGGATAAATCCATCCATTTTCACTGGTCAAGGGAGTCTGGAGCTAGTCGTGGAACCTTCAGGTAGAAGGCAAGGAATAACTCAGGATCGGGCGATAACCCACCACAGGGATGAATAACCAAAACTTTGGAATAATATAGAAACTTAGAGGAAGTAGCATAATTTTTAAGAGGAATATACCTCCTGTTTTGTCTGAGGCGAAAATCAGAAAGTGCGCAAGTGTGAAGGACATCATCAAACAGTTAGGGATCATACTCTGTACGTTATAAAGTTTATATGTAAAAACATCTGCAGTTTTTTTTTTGCACTCAAAAAATCAGGAGTGTCCCAGTATGTCTGTGGTTCTCATGGCTGGTGTGCAGCTCAGTGGGTTTGGGATCTGTGTCCATATCTGGAAGAGAGCGGGTTCAAATCCCATGGCTGGCAGAATAGCCATAGATAGCATCATTGGACCCTTGACCCCAGTTGGCCCAGAGATGCGGTCTGACCCTGTCCTCTGCTCATCAGCTGCACATTGCTTTGGGCAAAAGTGTCTGCTCAATAAAGTGATGTACCCCACTTAATGGGGACCTGTGGACAAGCACCTGAGAGACTAGGTCACCATCTGCCAGGCCTGCAGGCCTCCTGTTTTATGCTGTGCGGTGGGTCGTGTTTCCTATAGCGTGAGGTCAGCCTGTGGGTAAAAAAAAAAACAAAGCAGCCTAAATGACGACGTCTTTGAATCATCCTAGTGATGTCGAACACACCCAAGGTCATGTGACGTACCTGACGATCTGTTTGAAAGTGATTGGCGGGAGTATGTTGTTTTCACTACAAACAGACATCACTGAGATGCCAGCAACCTTCTATTAAAGGAAGGGGTGCGATATTAAACATCTGTATTAAAACTATAATTTTTTATTTATTTTCTTTGACCACTTGTGTCAGTGTGGTCGCTTGTGCGGCGCGTTTTTGTTCAGATGCCTTGTGAAGGTGGACATTCCCGTTAATTAAAGGAAAACCCCTGATCTCACTTTCCTGTTTTCTAGAAGCTACAACAAGCAACATGGCGACCGCCTGAGACAACGTCGCGATGGATCCGTGGAGCCTGCTGCCCCCCCCCCTCCCTAACCTGTCCGAGCCCCTAATGTATGACACCTTCTTTCTGGGCAACGAGTCGGACACAGTGCCCAGGAACGGTACCCCGGAAGGGGGCCGACACACCTTTGATAAGACCGGCACAGCGGTAATCACCTTCCTATACTTTGCCGTGTGCACCATGGGGCTCTGCGGAAATGCCCTGGTCATCTACGTCATCCTTCGCTACGCCAAGATGAAGACGGTCACCAACATCTACATCCTGAACCTGGCGGTGGCTGACGTCCTGTGCATGCTCAGCCTGCCCTTCATCGCCATCCAGCTGGCGCTGGTCCATTGGCCCTTCGGCGGGGCCCTGTGCCGGGTCGTCATGACCGTGGACTCGCTCAACCAGTTCACCAGCATCTTCTGCTTGACGGTGATGAGCATCGACCGCTACCTGGCCGTGGTGCACCCCATAACGTCCACCAAGTGGAGGAAGCCCCGCGTGGCCAAGATGATCAACTTGGCCGTGTGGGGGGTGTCGCTGCTGGTCAACCTGCCCGTTGTCATCTACGGCAGCTTGATGACGACCAAGGACAATGCTCACTTCTGCACCATTGTCTGGCCTGAGCCGCAGGAAGCATACTACACAGCGTTCATCTTCTACACCTTCCTCCTGGGCTTCTTCCTGCCGCTCGCCGTCATCTGCATGTGTTACCTGCTGATCATCATCAAGGTCAAGTCCTCTGGGATCCGGGTGGGCTCCTCCAAGAGGAAGCGATCGGAGCGCAAGGTGACGCGCATGGTCTCCATCGTGGTGGCGGTGTTCATGCTCTGTTGGCTGCCCTTCTACATCTTCAACGTCACCTCGGTGACGGGCACCATCAGCACCACGCCGGCGCTGAAGAGCATCTTCGACTTCGTGGTGGTGCTGGGCTACACCAACAGCTGCGCCAACCCTGTCCTCTACGCCTTCCTGTCGGACAACTTCAAGAAGAGCTTCCAGAACGTTCTCTGCCTGAGGAGGTCGGGTGGCCTGGACGAGATGGAGCGCAGTGACAGTCGGGTGGACAGGACCCGCGGGGTCAATGACAGCGGTCCTGAGATGCAGAACACATTGCTTAATGGGGACCTACAGACCAGCATCTGAGAAGGACGTCCCTGTCAACCAGGGCTGATGCTCTCTCATCTTCACAGGCCAAAATGTTTGCTGCCTCTGGGAAAATATGGGGTCTCAGACCTAAGTAAACACCTCCTAAGGTTTTGGGAACCCCCTTCTCCCATCTGATGCATCTGAAGTCTGTTTCAAATTCATAGGCAAAAAAAAAATAATGCTTCTTCTTTTTCCGGGGGCTGATACTAATCGCTCTCGGACTGTGAGGTCGCTGCATGAAGGCACTCGAGCTGAACTGGGTGCAGGACAGGACGTCCACAGACGGCGGAGATGCGGCGTCCCTCTGATATTATTCCTGTCAACTGCTGCCAGCTTTTACTCTTTTTAACACAGCTAGCAGAAGGTGCTGCTGCCCCTCCAGTTTAGTGGAAAATTATATGTCTGAATAAATTTCACGTACATGCTTTTTGCACATCCTCCTGCAACATTAGATAAGTCTTACTGAAATTGTTTTGACATAAACCTTTTTCGTGGTCCTGGTTTCAACTGAAGCCTTTTTAAAGGCTCTCTTTTCAATGCAGGGCATGTTCAGGATCTTCATTATGCCGCAAGTTTTTGCAGTTTCTTCAGGGTCCTGATTTTCATGTAAGGTTTCTTCACAGAATTGGATTTTTTTGTGTGTCAGGCTTGTAAAATCAGCTTCGGTCGTCGTCCTTCTGCTGCCTATCGAGTAATCTGAGCGGATGTGTGTTTCGATCGCACCCTCTATTAATTCAGCTTTTTCTGTGCCTGCTTACGGACACGCCAGGGCTGCCCCCCCCCCCAACACAGAAACCCCTTCGCCGTTCTTTCCTTCTTCAGGTCCTCATCCTCTTTGGAAGCTGTCATTCTCCATTTGCAACCTGAAAGCTGGAGACGTATATTACAATTACCGTTCCATCTCTCAGTCTGTCGCTTCGACTCACGTGGGACTTCCTGTTTTGTTTGCATCTGGGGAAACATTTATTGCTAATTATGCATCGCCTGATAAAAACAGCACTAATTACTTGCCTTATTAATGTTTTTTGTTCTTTTTTGTCCAGGCGGTATTTATTCATTCGGAAATAAAGCTGTGGAGATGTTATTTTCTTCTTTTTTCCCCTGTGGGGGGCCTAAACACAGCGTCATTGCCTTGGGGGGTCTGATTCACAGAAGACAATTGATGGGACACACAAAAAGAACAAAATGTCAGTCTGTATGTCTCCGTTCATGGTGACGGTCGTTAAAAAGCAGGGCGTCAACAATCACGCCTCCTTCTGGCGGTTTTCTTTGCGCTGACGCTTGGAGACCTGCTACTACCTGGGAGACCATCAAAGGCCTGCCGCACAGCAGGGTTATGGCGCGACACAGCGCCGCATCGTGATAGGCCCGTTTACCTGTCACTTTCACAGCGAAACTGACGTAGACCAATAACTCAGCATTAGCTAAAGAGACCCGCCCACTTAAGAACCTTAAAAGTTGAGCACCATGTTTGCTAGCAGACTATGGGAAGGGAGTATCAGCGCCTGTTATAGCTGTTTGTCTGGTGAATCGGGGGGCGTTGTCTTTATGAGGGCAACATTCCAGTCAATGGACTAGACCTGACGAGTCGATGGACGATACTGTACCGCCACACCTTTGTTTGACCATAGAGTGACATCCCGTAAGGGAGGGGCCATGCGTTAAATGCGCAGTGTGTACAAGTTACCAGGAGCTGCTCTGGAGGGGTCTCATGCAGTGCAGTGTTTTGCCTGAAAATGCCCCCCCCCCCTGCCCCACATGTTCATTCTTGTAACTGGGGTAGCACCAGCTGAGTAAAATCCAGTCCAATGCCAGTACCTACGGGGAGGAGGCAGTGTGGGTGAAGGATATGTTGGGATGCAGACTAACTTACAGTTCACCTGTGTGCGTGGCCGGGATGCTGGTGTGTTACACATGTAATATATTAATTCCATGGTGTGTGTCAGGCGTGTGTGGGGGGTGTGTACATGCTTCCTGCACATGTACGAATTTATTCATTCAATGATGTCAAATGACAATGGCATGATGCCAGCCAGCGGTGGGACCCCTATTTTCTTACCTGTCTTTATCGCCGAGCTGAGCCAATCACGGCCTTCGGAGAGATGGCATGTTGTCACGACGACGGCGGGCTGCCTGTCAGCCACTGTGTTCTGTCACTTCTCGCCGAGTAGCCGTGACATACAGCTGCCCCCCGGACAAGAAGACCACGCTACGGGTGCGCGCCTGCCTCTTTAAGCTCGCCGAGGAACAACGGCCACCTCCGAAAAACTATAGACAGACAGGTCTCCATGCTGTCACTCTCCACAGTAGTTTTTTTCTGACATTTTGTGCCCTTGTCCTTCAGCAGGTTGCAGAAGATGCCACGTGTTACTAAAGCTGCTTTCTGAGGACAACAGAGACTTGGGAAGAACCCGCACTGACAGCGTCATAATGCTATAGAAGGAGTCACCAGCTATCGACTTCATGCTTTTCTCATGTACAGTGCTGTGCAAAAGTCTGCGGCGGCCTAAAGAAAACGATGTTTAAATGACCTTCATGTTCGCGTAAAACTATGATATTATGTCTGTCAAGGTGTGTCAGCTTAGCCCTTTCAAGGCGTCTCCTAAAGTATTTGCAGCAACAATCCAATACACCCATGTATTTTTTACCTCGACCACTAGCCTTAAATGTCTAATCAATACCTCATTGAGTTATTTAACTAATTAAATTGATTAATCAGTTGAGCTGGTAGTGAAATTTAGCGAATATATGGAATGGCTGGGGTGGCCCTGAGGAGAGGTTTGGGAGCTGAAGTGATGTTCATCTAGCCGTCCAACTAGGTGTCAGCCACTTTTCGGAGAACAGAAAAATTCTCGTTAGTATTTATTGTGTTAAATTGCATATGTTTTAATGTTAAGCTGTGTATTTTCCTGAGCAAATATACACTTAGCACCCAGATAAATAGCATTGAACATTTTCTTTGACTGCCTAAGACTTTTGCACAGTGCTGTATGTTACTGGATGAGTTCACAGTGACCCTAACCCCCCCCCCCCCACGGTATAGGCAGGGGACAGGGAGATATGGGAAAATGGGAGTCACAAGTTCATCTGTGAGGACACTGACAGACTCCCAAAAGACGCCCACTAGAACATATGGCTTCCATGCGTGCAACAGCGCCACCTGCTGATCTAAGAGTGTTATTTTATCAGAGAGGCCCGGAAGATGTCTAACTTGGGTTGTAACAGCACAGCACAACATACCCCCCCCCCCCATGGAAGCTCCCCATTCTTCATCCCCCCCATCAGCCCTCACATATTGTACCTTCATGGCTTTGTTTCCTTGGAGATTATTGGCGGGGAATTGCAAATGAGCTGACAGCTACGGGGGATGGAAGGGAGGCAAGGGGGCCACTAGGGGGGCTGAGGTCGAGGGGGGGCTGAGGTCGAGCGCCTGAAGAAACACACAATCATACACATGGTGTTAAATATGAAGTCAAACTATAAACTGTACAGTTCACATTTATTATTTATGATGTGTTACAGTGATATGAATAAATGTATATGTTATAAATTCACTACATACGAAAAAAAACAAAAGCATCTTCTTTGTTGCCAGCACACATACTGTATAATGTCAACAAACAGTAATGATATTCTTTATGGTATGTGAGATTATCTCTTTTACCTGCATACTTCTAATGTATAACTTGTGTTTAAATATTATATAAAATTAATTCAAATATCGAATGATTCACATTATTTGTTTTTTTTTTATCGTTTAGGATTTATTAATTTATTATATATCTTGTGTGTTGTTCCAGCACTCATGCATATCTAAAGGTGTTAACTGGCATCCTGGCCTTGAAATTGCATTTAGGTCGTTGGCAAACCCAACAATTTATAAATGTTCCATTGACTGTATTTAGTAGTTTTATTGCCCTTACGATTTCTATGCTTTAATAAGGTGCCCCCAAAAACAGTTATTTAAGAAAGCAACTGTACTATTATTAGCTTTGATATGATTGGAATGCTGTAATATATTTTGTTTTGAAGAGGAAGGTGGTATTTACCATTGTACCAAATACCGCGTATTCCTCCTCCGCTGTTTAATGAGATTTCCCTTTACTGAGTCACGATCGCTCACTTCTAAACTCTATTGCCATCTACTGGCGAAATGAAGTGCACGCACTTTCGTTTTCCCCGTTTTACGTGTAGGGTGAGTACAAACAACTGAACAATAGACTGTTGGGTAGTAAAAAATTTTACTGACCTAGCCCAGACGTATAGGAGCAAAAATTATGACGCTTCACCCCTAGACATGACAAAGCTATTTGTACTTAAATCGTGATTGTGAAGATTTTGTAAATAAACTTTCAATTGGCGAAGATTTCAGGCATACACAGTGATCTTACAGGGAGTTGCTGGATATAAAATGTTTTAACGCCCCCGTTAACATTAACGCTTTAAAGATCCCGAGAGCTCGGACAGTAACACTGGCCACACGTCTACTTTCTGTCATAACTAATATAACGCAATTTCTTTCAGGCTTGCAACATTTCTGCAGGATCACGCCACAGGTTGTGAATAAACCTCGAATCAACGCTGCAGCCCTTGCGCTAAATGATTTCCCAGTGTTATGTATTTTTAAGACGGTCTTCATATTCATCCGGCAAAATAAACTGGCGTATCTCTTTATCATATGTCCGCACAAAGACTCCAATCAACTGCTTTTATGTCCTACAGCAATGAACCTCAGAATAAATCAAACATTTTATTAAAAATGCAATTTTCACTGAGCACAATGCACCAAACTGACCTCTTATAATGATATTCCTTTGCCATTCCCTCTATGTCCTGTTTAGTCCTGTTTATGACGTCCTGTAGGGGGCAGTAGCAGCAGCTGGACACAGGCTATTGGGCTAGTTAAAGCCCAATGTGTTTGTTTAATTCGCATCACGTGCAGCCGAGGTTAGACTATTAATCGCAGTTACTCCTGCGCTATCGTGTGGATTTCACCTATATCATAATCATCAATTAGCGCCTGCACAGGAGGTTAGGTTATGTGACGCCTTGGGTTTGACGTGCGTTAAATTTTCTCGATTTGAGCAAATGGTCCCAGTCCAGCAGAAGCAGGTTGCAGTTAAAGTGAAAGAGAAATGTAGAGAATCATTTGTTTTGCATGAAAATTGACTAAGCGTGCGTTTCTGTTCGGTCTATTCTGAGCGTTAGTAGGTTTCTGTAGATTTCTCTGAGGTATAAGCAGGCGTCGGCTTTCTATCAGAAGTCTGCTTTCGCGTGGCGGTAAGCGGGGACATCTGCTGCTTTCTTCGAGAGTTTTTTTTTCTTGTCTGATGTCTTTTTCCCATTTTCAGTTAAATGACTCAGCAAAGAAAAAAAATCCACCAAGTTTCTGTGTATACATTCTGTATATAGCAGGGAGTAGGCTGTATTCTTTTTGCATATACACTCACCTAAAGGATTATTAGGAACACCATACTAATACGGTGTTTGACCCTCTTTCGCCTTCAGAACTGCCTTAATTCTACGTGGCATTGATTAGGTATGTGAAGAAAAATTTCAAACTCAACCAAATTAAATGCCAATGGTACCATTGGAAAGAGCTTGAATAAACAAAGACAATGACACCAAAATCACTCAGATATCTTAACAAATAAGGGAATTATTGGCAAAAGAAGTTCGCTAATTAGCCCTATTTTTTAAAATGGAATGAGTGTAGAAAACTGTGACCAAATACCTAACTTTTTATATAAAAACGCTTGTAGTTTCCTTCATAATCAAGATATCTCAATGAAACTTTCAGGGAAGGTGTATCTCTTTATATTCTTCAATCTGAAAGAATAATATATATTCCAGGTATGTCCTTAGTCTGAAATAAAATTGATACAAGGTGAAGACTGGAATGGTGTATCAACAGGCGCCGCTGTTGGTTTAGGTCACGTGACCATGTGAATATCTCTTATCTTCTGCTTAATTAAATGCGACTCAGTGGATATAATCATCTTTTTCACATCTTAAGATATTTCCTTAATATCATGGCATATTGATGCAACAAATCACTGATGAACATACAGCAGATTTCAGGATTTTTGGCCCGTGACGATCCTGTATGCAGTAAACTTTTTTTTCTGATCCATAGAAAGCTATGAAACTGCAGGATTAGAAAGATGAAATGATAAAAAATATGTCAATTTAGCTTTCAAAAGCGTCACTTAATCCTTTGAAGTGGTTTTTGTATGTTGAAATCGAGTGTATTTTTCAACGTTTCCGGAAAAGGTCTAAATGTAATTGAAAAATTCAAAACGGAGGATGAAGAGGGGTTCCCCATCTATGTTATCAGTGGGAATACCGCGGAATTCCGCAATGGGATACAATAAGAATGCGTATTTTCCGGGGTATACCCAGCGCTCAGATGACCCGATGGTGGAACAGGAATCTGGAACAAAAAAGGCGGCCATGTTGGTCGCGCTCTTCACATACCTACATTGATTCAACAAGGTGCTGAAAGCATTCTTTAGAAATGTTGGCCTATATTGATAGGATAGCATCTTGCAGTTGATGGAGATTTGTGGGATGCACATCCAGGGCACGAAGCTCCCGTTCCACCACATCCCAA